GTATTAATTAATACTCAAATTACTATTTCAGTCGTTCTTAATGTATCAAGCGTCTATGTGCAAAGGAAAGCCAAAAACTATGTTTTTTATCATTAAATGATGATATAACCTAAAGATGCTTTGCGGGCTTTACGGCATAACCAGGTTTCATTCGCCCGGGCCCTTGCCCCCTTTGCCAAAGGACAAATTTAAACATGGTGTTTCACAAAAGAAGTGAGCATGTTTTTGTTTTGTAATATATATATATATATATATATATATTTATATTTAATTTTAAATTCACAGAATTTTTCAACTTCTGACACCCCTGTATTCAGGGGATTTCTTATTGTGCAGTTGATCACAAATTGTGCACCTGTAAAAATATTTGTGCAGTTGGAAATTCACCTATATAAGTAAGTTCATGTGGATAAATGTTAAAAAAATAATATATTCAAGATTATAAAATTCAATTGATAAATAAATGTATTTACTAGAATATCCTTCAATTTTTGGATCATTTGTTACTAGGCCTGTATTTATGAGGTTCAATAGAGTGTCTTGTATGAAAAATTATGATGAAGTTAAAATATAATTGTGCAGTTGAAAAAAAATCCTTAGGAAAAGCTCTGCCTGTATTTTTGATCAAGGGTGTTGTGTGATAGAGAAATATTTGGTTGCCTGGGATAAATGTACAGGTTAAAGAACATGCAAGAGTCCTCACTAAAGAAATCAATATAAATACAGATTCTCCATACATAAGAAGAGACTGTATTTACCTGTTGTATTGATCATTTTGATGTCAAAATTAATCACTATCCCAGACACCCTGAAAATAGTTAACAACTGGTGTTGGGCAGAATATACAAAAACTCACAATAGATAACTTCTGCCAAGCCTTATAAATAACCAAATGCAGTACACAAGATTCTGCAACTGAAGGGACAGTGATGTTATGAATACAAAATAGCAAAATAAAATAAGCAGATCCATCTAAAGGGCACTGAGACCAGGAGACAAAAGACATCACTAAATGGAAAATGTGAAGATATATAGCCTGAATCCTGGAATATCTAGATAACAAATAAGATGGGAATGATCAAAGACCAGTCTCCAATCCTCTGCTGTCTTTGGCACCACAAAGATAACAGTAAAAAACCTCAACAAAACAAAAGCACAGCATCAATATCTCCTTGTTGTGGAAAAGGTTGAAAATTGCCAGATCCAAAATCAAATAGAAACTAGAAGAATCAAATCTGGATGGTGGATAAAAAACTGAAGTAAAGAATCTGATGAATCCAAAGAACATGAAGTGAAGGGTCCACAGATGAACAAGTATCTGAGATGACCCCCAAAAGTTTAGATGAAGGAATCATCTAGACCAGAGAGTCAAGGAATGAGTCATAAAAACACACATTGCTTACAATGATGTTAGATCACACTAAAAGTACTAGTAGATGTAGTGAGCATCAAAAAACATTACATGTTGGACTCTTAGAAGGGAATGATGACCAGAATTAAAATGAGATGAAAACCCTAACCAAGTTTTTCCTGAACAGAAAATATAGTAGAGGAAAATATTTACAAACACAAACAATGAAATAGTTTTCTTTTACATAAATATGTATATGGAGGTCAACTGATTAACAGATGAATATCTTACAACACAGCCCATATGGTAGTAAAAACAATAGTAGAGATATGTGATTCTGATTAAAATTATCAGAAGGTTGAGAATAACTAATAATGGTGTAAAAAAGAAAGTCTCTCACATGTCACAAGCACCTTCTGGTGTAATGGAGGTAGGTTCAATATTGAAATATCTAACTTATAAAGACAGGTTCAATATTGAAATATATAACTAATAAAGACAGGTTCAATATTGAAATATATAACTAATAAAGACAGGTTCAATATTAAAATATATAACTGATAAATATAGGTTCAATATTAAAATATATAACTAATAAATATAGGTTCAATATTTAAATATATAAAATAACCAAGATAAAAAAGAAATGAGTTGTTGTCAGGATAAGGATTAGCACTGTAGCAAACAAATTCAGCTCTGAAGACAAATAGGCCTGAGCAAAGAATTGACTTTTATCCAAAACAAAAGAAAACAGCAGTTGTTAAGCCAATTACAAATCCCAGCTCATAATCCTGATACCTACTAAAATATCAGTATACAATAATATAAGTATGTGGAGGTATGTCATAGAAATTCCAGTAGTGGCACAAATAGTTAAGTCAGAAAGAAGGTCATATCAAAATGAACAGTACAACTGTCGACAAGAAAATGTAAATTATGGCAAAACTTATGTAAGATCCTTTGATTTTTGTGCATTATGTCACATGGAAGGTCGAAAAGTGGAGGAATTATGGATAAGTGACACATGCACTGCAATGCATAAAGGACATTTGGAAAGTTTTGTCATATATCTTGTTGACAGCTTGAGTTCAAACTCAACAAGGAAATGCTTTCAGTTTTGCACTCAATTAATTATGTGTGCACATATACAGAAAATACAAAAATTTTAATTACCCTGCTGATTTACAGTTTTAGGCTTCACTTATATTTTTAAGAAATACAGAAAGAGCAAAAAAAATGTTAAAGAATCATAGGGAAAAAATCTTCACAATTGCTTTATAAAATTACTTGAAAGACTACAAGTACAGGACATTAACTAAGGATGTTACCTACTACAAATTGTTAAATAATACTGTGGATATGAAATGGCTCACCAGAGCTTTGTTCTTCCACAGATGGCACCTTCATCAGTGCATTTTCCAAACAGCTTTGTTCTTTCCATACTTTAAAATGAAATGGTTGAAGTTGGTTACTGTACCATTTATGCTTATCTCCTATAAGTGCGGGATCATAAACACCTATTTTATGCAAATAAAATAATATTCATTATATACATTTTGAATGCACAATTGTATAAAAACAAAATGCATATGTATATACAGTTATCTTTGATTTACAACAGATGTGTTCTAAATCTTAGCAATTGGATTCCAGGAGTGATGGAAGAATGTCAAAGACGAGACTCCCTCCCTATAAATTTACAATGAAAATGATGATTGTTTGAATTAACTGTATTTGAAACCAATATATGAAAAGAAAAAGTTCTGCATGTGAATAAAATAACAATGAATAACATGCTTTATTTAGCTTTCTTCATTATGAATACTTTTCTGTTTGCCTCTATTGTGAAAATATGTATAATCATATAAAAAAAAATCAATGCACATGTTTCAGAAAACAGACTTAACACACAATAACCTTCCAAACAACTCTTGTACAATAATTAGTCATACACTGAAATGAAAGATGGGGAGAAAAATTGTAAGTAATATAGAAAGTCCCCAGTAATATTTATTAAGGATTCTGGGAACATTTTTCCTTGATAATAACTTGTTTAAAATGAGTTTCAAAAAGGAAGAGGCCATTTTCATCTTCTTTTCAATTATATTTTGGAAAAACTATATAGGTTGTAAGTTGTCAAGGTATACAATGCTCATCCAGGAGTTTTGTTTATATGAATGTTAAACAGTTATACCTGTGGGGGTGTATACATAATATTTCATAATCATTCACAGTTTTCTTTACATTAAAAGTATGTTATCTATTATTAAGTACATTTTCAGTCTGTTGTACTCCTCTCTTAGAACTTAATGAGTTAGTTGTCTTGATACTTCAGAACAACAATATCATTATGTGTCAACAGAAAATGTCTTGAGCCTAAATTTGCTAAACAATTTGAAATACAGAAACATTGCAAAGATGTGACCAAAAACTTCATTATTAAAAGAAGTTTTTCTTCTATTTTATCCTAGATTTCACCATAAAAAAGGAGTATTTTTTTGGTTGAAAACTCCTTAATATGGGTAGGTTTTTAAAATCTGAGAACATGCATGGTTACCAATTTTTCTAATAAGTCACTGACCAGGGATGCACGTTGTTTTCAGCAGGAGATTAAAGGTTAACCATTTTCCAACAGTTAAAAAAAGTTGAATATGAAAGAGGCTAATAATAATAATGAGAATTGAAGAATGGATCTTATAAGGTTAGCCTAAGTATTTTCCATTAACAGAAAAGCCATAATCAGTTTTGTTTTGTAGAATAATTAACCACTCAAAGAAAATAAACTATACATCCATCTACAAACAGAGAACTTTTGATATTAATCACAACCTTAACAATTCCTGGAATTTTAAAAACTTTGAAGTAAATTTTAATGGATGTAACTATATGCATACCTGTATGTAACTATATCATATTAATAAGTTTGATCATATTGTAGTTTAAAGCTTAAAAGTTTTAGAAACAATGGAATCTCTCAGAAGAATACCATCTCTATTTTGATCAAATTAGTTTGGTTAATCTATCAAAAATAATAATTTGTTTGACCACTGGCAATGAACTTAAAAAAATCATTTCTAGCAATTATCAAAATGCATCTACATCAGAAGTATTAGAATAAATAGTTCAGTATGGAATGTTTGATTTTTTTCTATTATATGCAATGAATAAAAAGAACTGGATTATAAAGAAGGATGTGACCATGAGAAAAATATATAAATTAATACTGAAGAAATTTACTGAATTATTTTAGTTGAGATGTCAGTTAAAAAGAAATATCTTAATAGCTAGGAGTGCAATAGTAACCCAGAATACAAGATAATGTGTGTTGTAGAACAAAACTTGTATTTAATTTCTAAGTATGAAAAAATAATATGTAAAATCTGAAATTGCTATTTTGCAAAAATGTTATTTCTATATAAAAATTTAGATGACATTTTCAACAGGTCATTACTGTATAACATGAAAATAAGTGTCGCTCAAATAATAGTAGTACAATTCAATGCATGTATGAAAATTTTCTTTATTTTTATATAAGATTTGCTTTGCTTTGCTTGTAGGTTTAATTAAATGTTTTTTCTTTAAAAATTTTATCCCCATTAAGAAATGTATCTAACTTCACCCTATACTTTTTACTTCCTATGTCTAGGATATAGTTTCAAACAACAACTCATTGTTTTACCACAAATAGACATTTTGCACTGCACTCACCTGTATGTACTCTTAAGAATGCAGCATTTGTTGGACATAGTGACCATTCAGCCATAAATTCCACAGCCTGAAATAACAGGCAAGTAACATTATTTTTATCTAACAAATATAAATGCTATACTTTGATAATAACAACAAAGTATGTGATTCATAACGATAGAGAAAAATATATATAATATACAATGTTAAAATAACTAAATGAAAAATTAGCTGCTAGGCATGTCTTTTACAGATTTCACTTAAAGAAGGGAAGTCTCAGAACATAACTGTCTTCATAACAATAACAGTGAACAAAGCACACATACCTCTAATTATAAAAAATGCAAAACACTCAGAATAGAATCTATAACAATATATTTATAAACTACTTAGAAATATGAAATTCATTAGTATAAGTAATATAAGATTTCTAAGAATTTTTATTACTACATCAAAAATGTGAAAACTATACAAGTTTCACAAACCTGAGTTCGGACAAACTTTTTTAAGAATGTAGACACTTTTGGCCGAGATTGCAAAAGGCTATTGATCTGAAGGGCAACAACAGGTCTTGGATATAGACGAAGTGTGCGTGTATGTTCTGCAAAATGAGCTAGTAGGTTAGGTGAATTAAAAAATCTAACCATAGCAACACGAGTTGCAATATCTACTGTGTCTACATCATTGCCAAAAATAAGAGGATTGAAGCCTGTTGATGGCATTGTCACATTATAATCTGTTGAAATTGTTGAATTCGCTTCGGCTGGATCAGCCTTGCTGAGGGTTTTTACAGGATGTGGTAACATACTCATTGAAGCAAGTGCCTGAGTTTAAAGAAAAATATGTATATGAATAGCAAGAAATTAAAAAAACTTAATTATTAACTTATTTCAAGATCTGTACAAAATGTTCACCTATAAAAACTCTTTAGAATCCCAAGTAACAGTATATATGAATAAACTCTTCAAAAGTATTATACTTAATCATAACACCAATATCTCTGTTCCAAAGCACACCCATATCTCACTAACACAATACTCCATGTACACATTCTTAGTTATAGAGGCAATATCAATTTAAAGGCACACATTTTCTAATATATGAAACAAAATTTCTGAAAAAAGTTTTAAAAATTGCTTACCATGAAGAATAGATAAATGTATTTCCATTTGAGGTTGATTGTTAGTTTGGTTATTTATATCTTTATGTAATAGTTTAGTCAGTGATCTCATGATCCATATTGGTCTACATATGTTTTTTTTTATTGTCAGTCAATTATCAATGTTAATTATATTTATATCACTATTTTAGTATCAGATTTATGGTTTAATAGAGATCAAATTGCTTTCCAGGTATGACAAAAAGTTCATTATTACATTTTTCTACTGACAGACCTTTAGTTCCAATTACTTATGATAACAGTTGTTGTTCTCACACACAGATTTCTTACGTTTCAAGTTAAACAAAAACACTAACACACTATATATTATTCTCAAACTATTACACACATATCTATCTGTTCTTTACATTTATTCAACTGTGGTTCAATCTCTAGTAAAAAGGAATAATCATTACTACACTGAAAAATATGTTTTCACGACTCTTACTTCCAATTATAAGGATGACCATCAGTACCTACAGTATACATTTGAGGTTTTTACAAAATACTTCAGGTTTATTAATCAAAAAACAATAATTCATTCTATCAAAAAAATAAAATCAAGCATTTTAGTACAAGATTTTTTTTGTCCTCTCACTTATATATCTATGGTAACGTTTATAACCTTCCTCTAGTGAAAAACAATTTTAATGATCAGACAAATGCCACTGGTATTAAGTAATAACATGCAAGCTTGGTATTTTTAAAAATTAAAGTGAAATTTTCTTTTTCTGCAAAAGAAATAAATTAATTTGAATTTAGAAACAAAAACATAAAACGTACATGATATACTAAATGCTAAGAAGAACATAAGTTATTATAAATTACATGTCAAAGTTTATTACCATCATATATTCAAACATGGATACATGTACGTTTGACACACAAGTTTACAATTATAGACAAAAATGTTATGAAAATTTCAGTAGAAGATTATTAAATAAAAAAAGTGTTTCTTATTCTAAAACCTCAATTCCACCAATCATCAGAAATTAATCAATGACAAACAGTTATGAAGTAATTTTGTAGTTTTTCAGAATTTATTGTGCATGCTGGAGGGATTTAGACATTTTTGGCAATAAAATTAGGGAAAAAAAATGATTTTTATTCTCCAGATTATGATAAAATAACTTCTTACTTCAGCCAAATTTGCACCTTTGCAGCTTCATCAGGGCTAGTAGTACAAGAACTTTATTAAGAACTTACTTGTTTAATGTGATTTTGCAGGATGGTACCTTCTGGTTCTGGCAAAGGTGGGAGTTCTTCACTATCTGGAGGTTTAGTAATCTGCCAAAAAATGGTGCAATCCATTTTTGTTTGTATATGGATTTATATGAAACACATTTTGAGTGAACAATATTTTGGCATATCCTTTTTTCCATATGAAACACAATTATTCTATGGTTGTGTGATATATTTTTACTTAAGAAATTAACTGATTGTTTTGAAAGTAAATGTTGAAATTTGTTTCTTTGTTTTAAAAACAAAATTGCACTATGGGAAACTTTCTATGCTGAACCAAACATAGAGATCAATCCTCCAAATATTAGAATGTTAGATTTTCCTAAATTGAAAATGTATTTCTTATAGATACTTAATTTTAATTACTTCATCTCACAAAAAGCTTTCTCAAATTATACACTCCCTATATCAGCACAAATTTATGCTCACCACTAGCCTTGATACTCCCACTTATTTCTGCATACTAACATGCAAATTACTATGTAGCAGTCCTCCACCAATAGGAGTGCAACACTACCCCTATTGTAACTAGTGCCCTCTCTGATCTTGCAGCTGTTAACCACTTCGAGATTGGTCAGATCACACCAAATGAAACTGGTACTGGGGAGGATGGGTGGGAAATGTGAAAGGAGGTAAGTATTTATTGGAAATACAGTTTCAGTCTAGGAAAGTGTAAACTTCTAATACAATATCTTGCTTCCTCTCCCAAAAAGCTACAATCCCACATTGAACTGGTGGAAGACCAGTGAGAAGATGATCCTCCTTTTAGGAAGCACCCAATGGAATATATGGGGTGTGAGAAGGAATTAAAAACAACACATCCATGGAAGATTGCACCACTTCTGAGCCAGGTATACTCTTCTCCCTTTAGTAATGTGTTGCCAAAAAAAAGGGTGGAAACATGGAGGGACCCAAAGAAAGAAATTACTGAAATAATGGAACCCCTGGTGTAGAGAGGCTATGGCACGATAGACTGTAAATGGGAGTTCGACCTCAACCAACACCTGGCAGCATCTGGAATTGTACATCATGTCCATGGTAGGAAGAGGTTTCTCTACTGTTCATCTAAAAAACGAGTACCAGCAGGGAAGAGGAGCTTCTGTACCAAAGACCTGCCTCAGCATGCATGCACCTTCATCAAAACCAACACTAAATCCACCAGAAACCGACATCCTGTAGATTGTAGGAAGGTGGAAAGTCCAGGTGAGTGTTGTAGTCTTCTCTGGTCCCAACTAGAGGCATTGGGAATTTTTTGTCCAGTCTGCAGTAGGAGGGAGATACCTAGCCTTATACATGCGGGAATTCAGGTATTTCGTTCAGCTACAACGAAAACCAGATCCACAAAGAACTGACATCAAGCAGATGGTAGGAAGAGGGACCACAATTTGGGGTTGCATCTCCAGTCCAAAACCTGGAAGTCCACAGTAGGAGGAGGGTACCATCCAAACCCATCTGAAGTCTTATGTGGTTGGTCCGGCTCCAACCAACACCTGAACCACAGGAACGAACATCAGGCAGACGTTAGGAAGGAGGGTGCCTCAGTCAGAGGAGCAAACTCCAATACATGATGGATTGTTACATCCAATGTCAACAAGAAAAAGGGAAGAAAAATGCCAGGTGAATTAACTGGCAAATTCAACCTGGAAGAGTAATGGGGAAAAAAAGTCATGGGAGAGGTGAAGATTTCATGGAAGAAACAAATGGACTTGGGAACAATGCAAGGGAGAAGTATGTATTAGATAACATCAAAGAGCTCTGAACAAGCAAAGGAGGTGAACAGGATCGGAACAGTCATAAATGTGGGAAAAAGAGGGAAGGGAAAAGAGTGAGAAGGGAGAAGTACCTTCTCAAGCAACCAAAGTCATGGGTATAAAGGAACGATCAGGAAAGAGGAGATCCTAGAGGCTAAGAAAATAAAAATGCAGTAAATATCAATTGTGAACACATCAGAATGACAACATTCCCATGGCAAAAAGAGCTAGAACAGGGACTTCAAGAAAAGATGATTTAAAAAACACAAAGAAAAGGTCCAATGGAGGATGGGAAAGAACAAGGAACACCATATAGATGTGCAAATCTAGAAGGGAAGCAGGGTGGGGAGGACGAGACAAATGGAAGGAACAAAACAACATGGATAAGACTGGAAACTGGAAAACACAAGCAAAGTTGGTAAACTGAAAAGTGGCAGATAACACAACCCTATAGCACACAATAGAGGAAACCAAAACACACAGCAAAAAGGATGGTATGTGAGGAACATAGAATCGGAAGGACTATAACCCCTTAGGACAGACCAAAAACGGTACATGTACTATTTACATAGGTAAACCGCCATGGAGGAAGAATGAATAGGATAGAAAATGAAAGGAGCTATACACGAAAATCCGGCTCTTCAGACAGAGTGTAGGTACAGACGAATGACACACTCCAGAGTGTGGCTGACAGAAGAGTGTCGGAGAGAAAGGAAGAGGCAGGGAGGTGACACTGAAAACCAACATAGCTGTGGAAACCATGTGTGAGCTGCCCAATGTGTAACCACCAGCAGAACACTACACAGAGTGGTTTGAATTATGACAAGGACAAAAGGAAGTAGACAAATACAAGGATATGCAGGCACACGTCCATAGAACATTTGTTGTTTTTTTTGGAACAGTAGAAATGAAGGCCCATTGGAATGAATCAGGATTGTGAGACAATGGGAGATAAATGGAAGTAGAGGACCAGACATACTGAAACAAATGTCAGAACCCATGGATTCACTATTAAGGGCCTCCAAACGTGGGCAACTTTTAAGGAGTCTGGCCCTCCACCAGCCCTAACATGAGAAGGGTGGTCAGAGTAAGACAACTACAGTAAAAGGTAATCGAATTATTGGGATCTGATCCCCACTAAGACAGAAGCTACAACAAATGCTGTGAGTCAAATTAAGGGAGGCTGGAATGATGATAATCAAAAGCATGATAGTCCACAGAATGTGGGGATCAAAGCATACTGACTCCTGAATACAAATGCTCCCCAAAATGACTTGCATGAACTCCAATATATAGGGAAGGAGGAAACACTAAAATAATGACTCAAAGGCTAGCCCCCAAGAAGGCCAGGGATGGAACATAGGAAATAGGAGATAAAGACAGAACATAACATACCTGAATAATCAAATTCACCATACGGGAAAGAGATCTGGGCAAGTAACCCGAAATGACATGCAACTGAGAGACATTTAGGAGGGAGAAAAAATGGTGTCCAAATCCAAAAGTTCCTTATCACTATGAGAGAACAATCATTAGTTTGTTCTGATTGTTGCATGAAACTGGTCAACTTCAGATGGACCAGAGCCATCACTTAATGGACCAAGAATCATGGTTCCAACCCATTGGACATGGTTGGGAATTCCACAGCAGCAATTGTAGTCGTGACCACCTGAAACTGTGAGTGCATAACTTATGAAAGTAAAAGAGGAAAAAAGATAAACAAAAATATTTGTAACTCTCCACTAAAGAATGATGTAATCAATGTTAAAAATTAAGAAAGTAAAAATTTGGGAATTAAAACTTGAGCGAAAATACGTCTATTCAATAAGACTGCCAATCGAGAAGGGGTAGTGTCACACTCCTACTGGTGGAGGGTTGCTGCATAATCATTTGCATGTTAGTATGCAGAAATAAGTAGGAGTATAAAGGCTAGTGTCGAGCAAAAATGTGCTCCGATAGAGAGCAGTATAAGTCGAGAAAGCTTTTTGTGAGAGGTTGTAAGATATCATATGAGAATACAGCTTACTACTGACCCACTGGGGTGTAAATGTGAGGAATTCAATCTTGTTTTGTGATATGAGTAGAAAATTTAATGCAGAGAATGTAATTTGTTTACTTATATGTTAACCTGTTAATACATGAGAAAAAAATGTTATTGAGAAACAATTTTTACCTTGTTTGAGTCTAAGTCTATCAACCACACATCATCTGGAAGCCTAAAATGTTGTTTGAACAATAGAAAACTTGCTGGGACTCCAATAATGTAAGGTGTAGGAGCCAAGAGTAGCTGCAGTAAAATATAAATATACACATTTATATATATATATATATATATATATATATAAACAATGTTAAAAGAAAAATAAATAAAAAATAAGTAATGATAAATCCTGAAAGTTACCAAGTTTATTTTTTGTTTTTGTACATAAAGGTTTCAAGAACTATAAAAAGGATGACAATTTATGAAACAATCTCATCTAAATGTTAACCTACTTTAAGAATAATTCTTATTTGTATTTGTACAACTACTGGGTCTGGTCAACATTCCAAACTTCTAGTGCCACTAGAATTTTCTTATGTTAGTTAATGTTTCTCACCTTTTTTTGTGAACATATATTAACCAAATATTTTAAGGCTTATGTTTTATCTTACAGTTGATAATCTATCAAACATTAAGCAAAAATAATTATATGTGATCAAAAGCATATAAACTTTTCAAGTAATGTTAAACAGAGAAGAAACTAATATGGAATTTTTAACATATATTTACTGCACATTTTTATTTACTAGAATTAAAAACATTTTTTAAGAAAGGTGTAATACAAATTACCTGTTCTGCACCAATCATACAAGTTGGCAGGAGTGGTATAATGGGAAACATGTATTCCAAGGGATATATGATATTAACAAAGGCCATGACACTCATGGATAAGGCATTGTAGTCTCTTGATTGTAGAACTAACTAAAGAAATTAAAAACGAGAGTTGACATTTTCTAACACTGAAAAAGTATTTCTGATAGCTATCTCAACCCTCATTTGTCCTCTAAGCATTGCTAAAATTTTGAACAGTGCACCAGTTTTTTATACCCCTATATTTTTTGCATCATTGCAGCAACATGTGCTGATTATGTGACCACCCTCCACCAATCCCATTGTGCCCCCTAAACTAGTGCACATGGCTCCCTCTATCATTGCAGTACAACCCTCCCTTTGAGAACTGGCATAACCAAACCTGAAACACCAGCAAATAAGTGGGGAGGAAGGGTGGATGAGAGGAGGTAAGTACCTATTGGAAATACATTTTCAGTGTTAGAAGATGTTACTTCCAAAATGGTACTATCACCCATAGCTAGATTCCCATACCACAAAGGTGGAGGGGCAGGTGAAGGTGCAAAAAACAAGAACGAAGTGATAATGACCACCATGAAAAAAGCAGGTGTGCCATAAATAAAATAGGAGGCACACCTGTGGGGTATAGAACTACGTCTGGAACAGGTATGCTCTTCATCCAGTAACAAAGAGAAAATACATAAGGTAGAATCAAAGAGAATATGTGGCTAGGGCTAGAGGACCATATACGAATAGACTAAGTGCAGTCTGCCCAGGCAAAAAACATTCAGGGGAATTGCCTCTGATTTATATCAAGATAGCCAAGGGAGGTCCATGGGCGGGGAAGCACCTTGGTATACATTGGATTATGTCAAGTGTGGTCCATCCAAGCAAAAAACATCCAGTGGAAGTGCGTTGCATAATTGATTTTGTGCCATGCTGTGTACATAAGACATTGTGAGAGCAACAAGTATGGTCCACCCAGGAAAAAAAAAACATCAATATTGTGATATGAAGTAGTATAACAAGTGCAGTCTATCTGGGCAGAAAACATCTAGTGGAAGCACCTTGCATAAGATAGTGAATAGCAGAACTGATAATGTAGAATATTAAGCATAATGACAATAGCCCTCTTCTGATCGAGTGAACACATATGGCTATGACATTGTGGCATCATACAAAAACCCACTTGAGAAGAAACCTCCATGGTCCACCACTCCAGCGATTGGGAACAAGAAGTGGCAAAGACCCCCTTGCTCCACTAGAAGAAAGAGGGGAAATCACACTAGGGGGTTCAGAAAAACAACACACAGGAGACAGTGCATTGGGCATCTGCATGTCCATATTTTGAAAAGCAGAAAGACCCAGATTGTAAGAATCTTGAGTCAGTAGGAAGGACAAAACTCCCTATCTCATAAAATCCATGAGTGATGGTTCTCAGGAGATAATGAGAAAATAAAATATATATAGATATAGAAACACCACCAAAAAAGTGCCCCTTGAGTGAGTGTTAGAAATTATGCAGAGTTAGTGCTAGGATAAAATAATTCAGCATACCTGACCAGGGAACACCTACTACAAGGTGGGATCCAGAAATACAATGTGAAACAACAGTAAAGAAAAGGAAAAAAAAGATACAAGAGAAAAAATGTCAACTTACCCCAGTCAAAGGTGACAGATGTGTGGAGAATTGCCACAGGTGGAAGACGATAGCAGACTAAGGAAGACATGGCTTGATCATGCAACTAATGCTTGATGAAAGTATTGGGAGTTGTCCACATACTGCTTGAATAATCTTCTCAAAAGGACAGATCTCCCTGAGCAGCTAAAGACATTGTTAAATGGCGTATTTGGTGTGAAGCCACATTAAAAAGCCGACAATCTTCCATCAACAAGTCAGAATAAGCTAATCGTATGAGTTGCCAAACCCAGCTAGTAAGGGTAATAAGAGAAATATCAGGGTAATAGAGGGATTCCATGGTATAAAGAGGAGTGAATTGGAACCACAAAAGAATGCAGTAGAAGACATATAACAATGAAGGGAACATACTGGACAAAGAAGACGATCGGGATCTGAATGGAAGTATCAATGGGAAATGGAATGAAAGGAAATAAGAGAGAAAGCAAAATAACCTTCACGAGCAGTGGATGTTTTGGAAAGGAAGGAACAATTGGGATAAAGGAGAATGTAAAAAGCACAGTAAAGGGTGTGGGAAACATTAATAGTATAAATATCAGAACAAAAATGACCACAAGCTAGGAGGAAAAGGAAACAGGTCTTAAGAGAAAAATGGTACAAAGAACATATAGCAATGGGTTCAAAAGGAGAATGAGCCAAAACATGAAGAATGACATTGAGATCCCACATAGGAAGCACAAATGGATGGAGTGGACAAGCAATCCAAAAGGAATGAAAAATAAGGGAAATAACAGGGGAGGAGAAGGATCTATGAAAATGGGAGAAACAGAAAGTGTGGGCCAGGGCAGCTCGATAACTAGACACAGTGAACACTGACAAACCCTGACCAAATAACCAGGTAAAGAACTGGGACAAGTCAAGAACAGAAGGATGGAATTCACAGTGAATGGACCACTGGCAGAAGGTAGACCAATGTCGCTGATACACAGACAAGGAGGAAAAATAAATGGAAAGGGTAAGCAATGATGCTACATGAGGGGCGAGTCCTTGAGAAGAGGCAATAGACCATACACAAGCCATACATGAAGATGGAGTTTGGTGATATTGGTATGCAACACATCTGATTGAGGTTGTCGCAGGAGAGACCTGGACTGAGGTAAAGGCAGGGATTGATGCTCCAGTAAGGTCCAGAGTAGAGGAAACCACTACTGAGCACACCAATACATAGCAATGAGCAACAAATGACAAGGAGTGGTCTGGATGAGGAAAAAAACCCTGGAGATGAGTCTGATTGGAGGGTAAGCATACAGATGAAGGCCCCTCCAATCCTGACTGAATGTATCTACCCCCAAAGCTGAGGGTTGTGGGACAGAAGACCAAAATGGAGGGAGCTTGGCATTCCAATGAGTGGCAAATGCCTCTATATGAGGTGTTCCCACTGAAAAACCAGAGGATGAAGAGACCATTCCATAGGAAGAACTTGGTTGGGGCAGGACAGGTGGTCTGCAACCAAATTCATAATACCTGGAACATTACATACCAAGATAGTAAGGTAGCTGTGGGTCCAGTACAGGAGATCAAGTGATTAAAAACACAGGGATCTGGCCTTGTTTGGTGATATAACTGATGACAGTTGAATTGTCAGAATGAACCAAAACCACCTGCTCCCTCAAGAACAGGAGGAAATGATTGAGAGCCCGACAAACTGCTAAAAGTTCCTGTAGGTTGATATGGCAAGTAGAGTCCTCAATGGATCACTGATCTGAAATTTATTGAGAGTCGAGGGAAGCCCCCCAACCCACCAAAGAAGCATCAGTGAACAGATGAGAGTCAGGATGAGGTAGAGGAAGAGGAACCCCACTGTGGTAAGAGCCCTGTTGAGCCAACATACAAGGTTGGCCTTGATCCCTGGAGGACAGGTAATAGGATGGTCCAAGGGATTATGGGAGAAGTTCCACTGGTCAAGAAACATCTACTGAAATGATGCATGTGTGCTCGACCCAAGGGAATGAGAGCTTCCAGAGAGGCTCACATCCCCCAAAAAGAGAGTACCTCTCGAGTTGTAAAGGAAGGAGAAGATAGAACTCCAGAGACCACCCACTCCATATCCCGGAGCCAAAATGGAGAATGCTGGGCCTGACTGGGATGGGAATTGAAAAAACCCCTAAATGAATGAGGTATTGTGTGGGGGTATAAGGGACTCCACTGTGATTAGAAACCCCACCTGAGCAGACTTCCAAAGAAGGAAGTGGGTGTGATTGATAGATTAGGCCTGGGAAGAGGTGAGCAGGAGCGAGTCATCCATGCAATGATGAGTCTATAACCTAACGAGTGAAGATGATGTGCAAAAGAACAGACAACAGAACACATAAGGAGCAGAGGCAAGACCAAGTGGCAGTGGACGGAACTGAACCCCCCCCCCTCGAAGAGGAGAACAGAAGATAACAACGTGATTCTGGAACGATGGAAACATGAAAATAAGCATCTGTCACGTCGAATTTGATCATCCAAAAACCCGGGAGAAAACCCAACAAAGAAGATAGGATTCCATGGTGAAATGGGATGTTTTCCAGAAAAGTATCTGGCTGGGATAGATCTATGATAGGCCTCCAATTGCCTATCTTTTTTGGGAAAACAAATAGATGTAAGTAAAAACCTGGAAGAACAGACACCACACATTTGATACCTCCCTTGTGAAGAAGGTCTCGAACCAACTCTGCCAGACGACTGGTTGAGGTGCAATCCCAAAGAGGAGGAAAGGAAACCAGGATAGGATAGGAGGGGGCTGTAACTGAAAGCATAGACCCTCAAACAGAACCCAGAAAACCCACTGATCTGTCCAGAAGGGTTGCCAGATGGTAAAAAACTGTTGTAACCTGACCCCACCTAACCTTGAAAAGTCATCCCATCACTGATTATGCAGATTGTGATAGGAATGGGAAGAATGAGTGTGAGTAAGGGAATGCCTGGAGTAGGGTAAGGGGCGGGGAGAAGAGAAATGTACATGGGGAACCTGAAAAGGTGAAGATTGAGCAAAATCAGGAGGCAAGACAAACGAGAGACAATGGAGGACAAGAAAGAATGTAATCTCACCACATTGACCCTGGATTTTAAAGACTCGGGAAGAAACCCCAAAACCGTTTTTTAAAGAAACAAGTCCTGACGAGGCTCCCTCAAAGAAGAAATAGGGAGATGCATTCCCGCAAGTAATGCATCCTGACACAGGAAATCCCAACAACATAAGATCCAGGTGGTGACGGCCAATGCTGAAGGTGATAACCGGGCTATATTAGACCAAAGGATGGTTCTAAGGCCTTTTAAGAACTGATCAAGAGACTGATGGAAGGCTTGAGATAACAACTGTAGAGGAAAGATCTCGTAAAAGGATGGTCAAAGTAAGGTGAATCCTGGAAACTGGGACCTATTAAAATGAATCTAGACATCAGGATTAGAACCCCCACAAGAGAATGAGAGGATCCAAATGCTGTGAATTCAAATAGGGATTTGAGGTACATTGGTAAGCAAAGGAATATTGGTCCAAAAGCCAAGGGGCACATGGCATACCCACACCCGACTGCACCTGATCAGCAAAACGTTGAGTATGAACAAAAATGTTGGGTGATGGAGGAAAATAATAATAATCAGGATGAGGATCATCCCCCAACAAAGAAGAAGAATCAAGGGATAAAGATGAAACATGCAAAACTTGACATACCAGATCAATAAGTTGTAGGAAAGGCATGATTGGTAAACTCTCTTGACTGTCAGCATTATGTGATTGACCAAAAAATTGTTCTCACCCTAATGAAAAACTTCCCCAGAAGTGCGTTCATGGGGAAAAGGAGACGAGCCAAAGAAGTAACCAAAGCGTCAAACTCCCATCTAATTAAAGCCCGAATTTCCTCAGCTGACTAAACACTGTAGTGCCAATTGAGAATTGTGCTGCAATGGTAGAGGTAGCCATTTGTGCTAGTATAGGAGGTGCAATGGGATTGGTGGAGGGTGATCATATGATCAGCACATATTGCTGCAATGATGAAAAAAATATAAGAGTATAAAATACTGGTGTGCTGTTCAAATTTTAGCAATGTTTAGAGGGCAAATGAAGGTCGAGACAGCTATAGGTGAGTAGAGGTAGTACCGTTTTGGAACAACAATTTAATCTTAAAACACTAAAGAATATTGAAATCTACTAAAAATATTCTTTTTAAAATCAAAATAGACACTGGTAGTATGTCTCATACACAAGAAATATGATTATTCCGTCTTATCCTGATATTAATACTAATTTATTTCAAAACTGTTAAAAATATTTTAGTTTTTTCCCATAACTGCTGTTCACTGGCAAATTATGATTATGAACTTGTAATCAATACCTGTATTTAAAATATGTAAAATCAAAATAAATGTAGATTCTCCAAGTAAAATGTGAGCTTTTATATGTTTAAAACAGTAAAGTCCCATTTTTAAGGATGCATTTTACTATTTGATAATAGAATTCACATTTTACATGCAAAGTCAACAACAAATTTCTAAGCATTTTGGCAGTGGATAGTAGCATGTACCAGCTAAATGTGTTGAACATAAATGAAAAAAAATATTTCTCATATTTTAAGGTAAAGTTAATGAACACATTATTAGACTACTTTAAAGTTTTATTGTTCATAAATCTCTATATCTGCTAGTCAACTACTAAAAGTACTTCAATCCAGTTATTACCAAAGAAATTTTGGTGTGAAAAAAGATTACTTTTACAAAATATCAATATTTCATATATATATACAGAAATTTTCAAGGACTGTCTAGCTTAGGTTCACTTTTGACCCATTTAAGGAGTAGATATCAAAATAACCTCAAAATAAAAAAAATATATTCTAAACTTGTTATATATATTTTTACTTATTGTCTATAAGCACACTCATGGAACATGTTTAAACAAAAAGTAGTCCTGTTTGTTCTTGTCCAAACATATCTACTAAGCCCTGTTAGTATTCTCAATTTTAACCCTATGTTAGGCCCTTGGTTTATAAAGCCAATCTGACCATCTTTCACATCCTACATTTTTTCTTTTACACTTGCCACTTATGAAAATTGATATTATCTTGAATACAGCCTCCACATCAGAATGTCTATTTAAATTGATACAAAAATGGAAAAATTTCACTTGTTTAACCCTAAATTTTGGAAAGAGAGAAAAAAACAACAACTGCATAATTATTTCCAGACCTAGAGGCTTAATGTTCTCATGGTGGTTCCATAGTGTGTACTTCCTAGCCTGGGTTAATACATCTGGATAAGTTTGAAAATGGAATATACCAGTTTTAATATGGTTCATGTACAATGAAATGGAAAAGTAAATGTCAATTATCTGTGTGTGTCCAGAAAGAACAGAAAAAGAACACTTTGTTTAATAAAGGAAACAGAAAGTATAAAGTTGATCCTAAGGCATTATTTCAGAATTGAGTTAATGAATTGTATATCTGTAGATACTACCAAGTACAAGTGATTAATCAGTTATATTTTTATCAATATAAGTAGAACGGGTTTTTGCTGGTTTTTATTTCTCATTTGAGCATTTTATTAAAACAGTTATCATCACTTTGTCTGGCTGAAACAACACACAAGTATTAAGTTTTACAATATAAGATATATATTTACAGCCATGTTACAGAATATTTTATGTATTAGCCCTAGGCAAGAATAAACGAAAAATTTACTAGCTCAACTATTATCACAAGTTATAAATTATCATACAGATTTATATTTACTGCAATTACTTCTTCCATTAGAGAACAGAAAATAATGTACTTTCTACAAAATATGTGATGCAAATGTAAATCTACGGACAGTTTACCCAGTTTACATGTGTGAGAGACTGGTTTTTTCCAGTACTAAAAATAACTAAATAAAAATAAAACTAAATAAAATAAAATACTAAAGAAAAATAAAAAATATGTACTAAAAATAACATAATTTAATTAAGAATTGATAAAATGTAAAATCTTGGTTTGATTTAACAGTCTAATTATACAGCAGAATCAAAATAACCACACAGTGGCCTGACATCCAAAACATCTCACCCTTTTCTTTCATACCTATGAAAAAGGCCTCAGAATTCATGGACTGTCCAAGTCATTTTGCCAAAACACAACTGTGTCATCTCATATTAATAAAACTTTGCTTTAAAAAGTTACTATTCTTTTCCCACCCAAAAATAATCACTTAGATTAGAAATGTTATAATCATGAAATTAAACAAAATTGTTTGAATATCAGGATTATGATGGATTAGCCTGCTATTGATATACTGGATACTGATATTACAAAACTTTTAGTGACAGTAGATATTTAGTGATTTGAAAGAAAAATAACAAGTAGCATTTCTGTAAATTTGAATTATTAAATATGGAGTTGGATTTTGCACGTGTACAAGCAGAATTGCAATAGCCCAGGGCTAGTAAATATGAAATTCACAGTAGCCCAAACACAAAATGTGGTAGTCTTCAGCTTCATGCTTATGAATTTTGAAATCCCTAATCTAAAGATGAATCAAATCCTAATTCATAATAGATTTGAACACATCTACAGTTCTTTCTTTGGTACAATTTTTTATTTTTACACACAAAAAATTACACTTTTAAACAGTTTTTTTATATTTTACCCAAAGAACTTCCATACAGAAAGAATAATGAGTAATACAGAAATATGGCTTTTAAAACATAAAAAAAAAAGTACTGAACTGAGCCCTATATGTCAAGTTTCAATGAACTTATAACATACCTTATTCTCCAACAAGAGACAAGTCAGAACTTGCATACATGTCTCAATACCAAGAAGTTCAAGAGGTAGATGAAGGGGAAAATCCACTAATGAAAACCGTGTATGGTCTGGCAATGCAAATATCAGAGGAGGATGAAGGTCTTTTGGTAACACCTCAACCTAAAACAACAACATGAACAAAACAGTATAAAAATGATTAACATTTTCTAACTTATGAATGAGATTTTGTGAAAACCAAAAACAGAAAGGGTAAAAATGTACAAATTATAAGCTTAACATGAACTTGAATAATCTTTTCTTAGCAAAGTAAACAAGTCATACCTCTACTTTTGTCTTGGAAGGTACAGGCACTGGTGCAGAAAGTAACCGAAAAATCCAAGTTTCAATTTCTCTTACATGTTGAAGAATAATAGGAGATGTGTTTTCATTTATTTTTCCTATCAAGACAGACCATACAGATTCCCTAAAAAATAACATATGTTAAATTCAAACAGATTTTTATTTCAATCTTTTTTGAGAATTCCTTTTGTTTATCCGTAATATATATATTTATATATATTTATTAATAACTCTTTCACAGGCAATTTAAGTAAAAGAATAAGTTGAAGTTTTCATTAGGAACATTTGTACGTAGAAAAGATACCAGGACAATAGAATAAGGGTCTCATCTGAAGAAAAGAAAGTTAAGCTTTTCACATCTACTTAGCCAAGAACCACCCTGTGAGAAAACCAAACACTGGTATTAGCAGATCTAAGTTCACCACTGATAAACAACAGTCCTGTCCATTGGTTAGTACTTCTGCTTCCTATTCCTAAGTTCCTGATTGTTTGGTTTGTTAAATTTTGTACAAAGCTACTTGAGGGCACTAGATGCCCCTAATTTTGAAGTGATAAATTAAAGGAAAGGCAGCTAGTCAACACCATCCACCACCAATTCTTGGACTATTCTTTACCAACAAATAGTGGGATTGATTATTACATTATAATGCTATGTCTGAAAAGGTAAGCATATTCACTGACAGGATTCAAACTCATGATCCTCAATATCATGATCAGTCCTTCTTAGGAATACACACTTGAAGAGATTAATAAATTATAGCAACCAAAATGCATTGTTAAGAGTTAATTAGTTAAAAAATCCAATATGTTTGAAAATGGTGAAAGATAAGAAAAATAACAAAAAGCTACTAGATAATATTAACCACCTTAGATATATGTTGGTTGAAATGTACAATATAAATATGTGGACTGAAATACTAAAGAGTGCTTAACTTAATAAAGTCTGTTATATGGAGCTCAGTTCCACATAAAACAAACTTTCAGCACTTCAACAGCAACATTAGTACAGTTTAACAACGTATGGTTATCACCAATCTAAAATATAACGGTAATATTTCCCATGGTGATAATTGATATTTTTTAACATTCCTGTGATTGTAGGAAGAAACTATTGTTTTAAATTATTCAAATTGTAGCTCAAACAAAAATAATTAGCGGTAGTCAAGTATTCATTCAAAATCATAACACCTTTATTATTCAAATGTTGATAATTAAATATTTGTTACTAGTTTCAATATATATAGTCTTGTGAGAACTAGCTCTCCAGATCTGCTTCATAAAATTTATAATGATTTTGAATTACATGAAATTACACCCATACAATTAATTTGTTAGAACCTGATGTACCATATGATGGATATTTCATAGAACAAGTAAAAATATTTTTATGTCATCACCATGTTTAATATATCAAATATACAGAAAACACAAAACTTGTCTGATTATCTTAAATCATAATTTTTGGGTCTTTTGAAGATAAAATACTTAATTCTCTACAAATGTAATAAATAATTTGCTGCATTATTGTTTACAATAATTAGTTATATACCAGTCCTTTTTTAATTAAATCTGTCAAATGTTTTTTAAAGTGCATGATTTCGTATGTACTGAAAGATTAACTGGCCACTGCAAAAGCTAAAGAATAGCTAACCATAGCAGGAGCTATTTTGTTTCATTAGACATGATCCACCACCTCAAAGTGGAGATCTGATTTTGAGTCATCAGTCCCATCTTCTATATATCTTCACACAAATGATTTGTTCCACCAGACCTCCTTAACTCTGACAGTTAAGCAAGTCAGATGGTACTTCACTCTCATCAACAACAGGCATAGCTTCTGCAACCTGCCATAAATGAAATGTTCTCCAACATCCTCTTCTCATGAGAGATCCTCAAGTATTGTTATTAAGCAAATAAACCTTTCACGTTGTAGTTTGAATGAATAATGAGAAGACAAGGCAGCAGTAAGGCAGTGTGTTTCCCTGGAAGGAGTTCAGAAGAGTCTTATAGCATGATTTTGAAGTTAGAAAGGTTACCTCATTGGAACAGGTTAAGGCCTTTTAGCTTATTTGCTCTTGAGAAAAAAAAAAAGGTAAGAGGTGATCTTACTGGAGTTTACATGATTATCCAGGTGATTGATAAGATAATGTCCTCTGACTTCTTTGTGACAGTCTAAGCTCTAGTTACAACAGGTTTATATTTATAATAGGATGCTTAACTTATACAACGAGTTGCCATTGTATACAATAGTGGAAGCCAATACTTTACAAAACTATACAAGTGAATTGATAATTTCCTGAAAGTAAAGGATGGTAAGTTTTTTCAATGAAGCGACAGTGGTAATTTCAAACAATTAATTATGATGTGAAGAGAATCTTTGCATAGATTCAATACATACCACACACGTACTCTTTAAACGAGTTTCACAGACTACAATCAATACTATTCCTTAACCAATTTACATAACCCAGAAAATAGGTACAATTCTGTATTATATTTTACATCAAAGAATATGAGTTTTTAACAATGAAATGAGGATGCAAAGTGATAACAATATAATACAAAATTACCCTTTAACAATGAAATACTATATATATAAAGAAATTTCTTTCACTATGAACAAAAAAGCAAAATACCCTTTAACAATGATAATATACAATTCTACTACATTACAGCAAGATTGCCCTTGATCAAGGTTGGTCAATACCTCTCAAAATCAATGACATAAAATATCCTTTTTCACATTAAGTACAAATTAAAATAAAACCTTCACTGGTACATATTATAACACAACTTGTATTAGTAACTTAAACATATCCTAACCATTTCAATAATAATGAAATAGACCTTTCATTAAGATAAATCCTACTGGTGACTTGAACAAAAACATACTGCAGAATACACTAAACAAATGAAATACAAATTACCCTATAAAATAAATCACAAAAGTAAAATATAAGACAAGAAAAAGGAACTCTTTAACACAGATAACAAATGATATAAACGATGCACACAGGTATACCTTAACATTTTCCTACAATGAAAGTGCATTCTGGATAGATACTTACCTTTTTCACATAATAACATGTCTCAACTTGTGATGCCCTCTATATGCAACATTTTTGCTCACCGATAGTCTTGATGCTCCCTCCTACCCTTACATCATTACATGTGGTATAGCTGCACTGTAGCATGCAAATGAGCATGCAAAAACCCTCCACCAATAGGAGTGAGACACACTCTCCTACACAGCTGGCTCCCTCTATATTGTAGAGCACTATCATCATTTCGAGATTAGGCAAAAGAACACACTGGAACTGCAGAGGATAGGAAGAAGAGTGAGAAGAGGTAAGTATCTATCAGAAGTGCATTTTCAATGCAGGAAAATGTCAGCCTCCTATATGATACCTAACCTCCCCTCACACAATAGCTAGAATCCCACAATAAAATGGTGGAAGGACTAGTGCAAAAGTTACCTAAATGAGCAACTCTTCTGAAGGTGCCTGAAGATAACCCATGTAGTGTGACCCTAATATATGGGGTCACATCAATGGGAGACTGCATCCCATCTGAATCAGGTATACTTTTCCTCCATTAAAAAGATATGTTATTAAATTGGTCAGAAAAACGATGCACATACAAATTGTAATAAGACTGTATTTGATGGGTCAACTCCCATCCAAAACCAGGCAACATCAGGTATTTGTCTTTGGGTCCAAAGTAGGAGGAGTATCCTAACTGTCTCACCTCAAGACCAGGAAACAGAAGGGAAAACAACTTCCATTCCAACAACCCAGGCAGTGCGTATGTGCAGACCCAGTACCCAACCAACACCAGGGAATCCAACATCTAGGTAATGGTAGGAAGGAGGAATGCAAAGGTGGTAGGTCACATCCAGTCCAAACCAGGCTGCATCTGAAATTCTTCATCTGTTCCACGGTAGGAGGAGGAGGGTCCTTAAAACACATATGTGAGGACTTTTGTTGGCTGGTCTTATGCTGATACAACACCAGACCATGTGGGAACTGACATCCAGGCAGCAGTAGGATGGGGGAAAGCCAACCAGAGGGGTGAATTATGAACTGCATGTGATGGATTCATCCAGTCCAAAACAAGGCAGAATTTGGTGTCCTCCAGTCTATGACAAGATGACATTACCCCCTATCTACACCGACAGAACATCACTGCCCTACTCTTTACTGAGAGGAATTGGTCACACTTAGGAGGAAGCCTCCATGGTCACCACTTCAGCAATTAGGAACAGGTAAGTGACAAGGACTCCCATACTCTACTGGAAGAAGTGGGAACAATGTGGTGGAGAGCCCAATGCAACACCATAAGACAGTGCAATGGGTGACCACAAAAACCCTATTTTGAAGAGCAGGTCAGTTCCAGTTTATTCAACTAAGACCAGAAGAATTGGCAGTAATCCCAACACTGCTTTACTCATGAAAGTCAATGAGTTGGTACAGTCTGGTGCGTGCCTTATTTATGATGCAGCATACCACAAGGCAACCTCTATTGGTCTTGTGGAACACCCTATCTCTTCAGTGAGCATTATAGATCCATACAGCCATTTGTTGCAGATTTAAAGTTAAGTCTCCCTGGACAGGTACCATTTACCACAGAGTGGGATCCAAAAAATATAGTAATAGGTCATTGTAAAGGTAAGACACAAAAACAAAATCTTACCTAATCAGAGTCATTAATGGGTATGTAGTATGGCAACAGCAGGAAGTCAATATCTGGAAGAAGAAGAGACAGTCAGAAGATGAAGAAAATGTGTGACAAATATGGCATAATCCACATGCTTGTTTTCACGAACCTCTCCAACAAATGATGAAAGTGAAGAGCCAGTGAGGGAGTAAGGTATCAGATTTTGTGAGAGAAGACTTGTAAGAGTCAATGTGAATGTACATCCAATGAAGCATAGGCAAAAATCAATGCAATGATGTAGACATTCCTCGAGAGAAATGGGAGAAACATTTTTGGGAGATGAGGAATTTCAAAGAATAAACAGATGGGAGCATGAATAATGAAAAGGAGTAGAGCAGGCCAGAGAGCAACAAACCACAGAGATGGAAGAGAGAAAATGATTTGGAACAGAACGAGAATAATATGGAG